CCGGTCCGAGTACAACACTCTCGTCGGACACGCATCAGCACAAAGGAGTCCCACACCTCCTACTACCATACAAAACCTCATATGATGTCATTCCGATACTAGAATGATAGCGGTTATTGTAGGTAACTCAATCAACGACAATTAACTGCCCCCCGATCCATCCTGATTCAACATACAAGCTCTCGCCAAATCCTCTACATACGGGATAGCTCTCTCTATCTGTCCATCCATCCACAAATGCTAAACAGAGTTCAAATTTAATATGGCACTCAAAGTTTCTGCCACTCTCCCAAAATTTCATCGCAAAATCAGATTTCCCATCTGACACAATATTCGACGGCACTTCACACTACTTCACAACTCCCTCACTATACATCTTAGCTACTTCAAGCATAGAATGATTCATTTCCATTGGTAAAAATGAGTTAATCTTTTCAATCCATTCCCAACTACTCAAACTAAATCATATCCCCTTTTTAAATTCTCTAGAAAACCCGACACATAATTCCATGGAACCACTATTTTACTCCACTCGGAAATATTCAACAGTTGCATCAGGCCCAACAGTTCCCGCTGTTCCAACTTCGACTTCCCACAAGTCTGATCAGCATACACAATCTCAACTCTCTCTCCCTCCACCTATGGCCACCAAAATAACATCCCACATTCGGTCACATCTTCATAGCACCTGGATGGGTACTCAACCCACCTTAATATCCTTCTCTCAGGGTAATCTTATCCAAATCACAATATTGGAGCACATCTCTATCACAACATCTCATGGCACCATCTCCATCAATCCGAAAATCAGACCTTCAAATTAATTCATTAAATTCAATTCAGCCTACTAACTCAAATTAGAATTCCAACTCCTCGACTCTCATCAAGGTTACTCATAGTCAGCCTCAACATACGAAGCTTAATTCCATAAGAAGTCCCTATTATTTCCTTTGTCTCATATCCAACTCTTTCAAATCAAACAAATACCTTAAGCTCTTAAGTTCACCAAGTATCTCATATATCCACTAAACAATTAAGGCCTCCAAACTCCGTCACAACACACGACAGCAGCAACCAACTCTAAACCACTTGTCCGATAATTCCTCTTTTGTACTTTAAGTTGCCTTAAAGCATAATTAGAACTCGCTGAAGTTGCACTTAACATACCTTCCCAATCATACCAACAAAGCATCACCAAACACAACAAGTAGTTCCATCGGATACGGCAAAAACCAACACACGAACTCTTTAAACTCTCTTCACAGAGGCATATCACTGCTTATTCCCCAACACCGATAACTCAAGTTCTCGATGCTCAACATAATCCTCTATACTCTTTGAATATATCAGAATATCATCCGTTAACACAACCGTTTCCTCGCTTAAATAAGTGTGGAAAATCCCATGCCAGACGGACATTCAATTTGCGAGTTATGGCGAAAACACGAACCGCACCTTCTGCACTTACCACAACATCCAAACATATTCCATCAATAAATGACTTAATTCCATGCCACTACTTCACCATCACATTGAGCTTTCAACAGACATATGATATGGAGCTTTCATTCTCGGACTAGCTTCTGCAACTAAGTTGATCACAAACTCCACTTCACGTCCTGGCTATATATCAATGTCTTATCAATATAGCCTCCAGACAACCACAAATAATCGGAAATTCTCCAACTTCCCCACTTTCATCAATACTCAAAATCCCCATCCAAATTCAAACACCTTAACATTGTCCTGAGCCGACTCGTCAAAACAATTCTTAAGCACCTAGCTGAACTCCAGACCTTTCACCACTCACGCCGTCTAAGCTTGCAAGACACGTTCATTCCATCCAACACAATTCCAACTGCTATCAACAAGAGATTAAGGGTGATCAGTTCCTCAATTTGTCAATAGATAACCGAAAATCATAATGGGGTATGAACCATCTGTACCAAACTATAAGAGCGTTCAACCACACACCGAGTTACCACCCCACACTTGCAGCACCCGGGAGAAGCACAAGCTTCTACCCCACTTAAATCATTCCCACTTCTGCAGACAAAGGTTAGACAAGAATGTTGCAGTGAAATTTGGATGTCAAGCTATTGATTAACTTGAATCTTAATTCGTTTACAATCGGTCTTTGATTTATCCGAAGGAAAGGTTAAAGAAAGGGGAAAACCTATTTTGCATCGTAAACACAATGCGGGGAAAGATCTAGGTTCGGGGGTCGGTTAAGCTTAGGGAAGGTATTAGCATCCTAAACTTCTGTAGTACTCTACAAGAACCTCTTGTTTTAAAATGTGCTATTGCTATAGTTATCTGCTTAAAGGTTAAGGCTAAGGGTTAAAGGTTAAGAAAAGGACCTAAGGGGTTAGCCCTAAGTATACTCGCCAAGACTCGCATCTTGTGCCTACGTATCCGAGGTAGGGGATGGAATCAGAGTAATCGTAGTTCCCCTTATAGAGGGAGATGAGGAACTTTTTGACTGTGGTCAAGGTTCCGGGGGAAAATGAACGTTCATAAGGAAGGGCTTATTTTGGAGTACGACGACTCCTATTTCTACGTTAAAGTTCAAATTAAAAGGGTGTAGGATAAGTATTCCACGGCGAGAAACTTATGTGGAGTGCGGCGACTCCTAATCCTAAGACTAGGATAAGGGTTTGAATGTCCACGGCGGGACGTTTAAGCATGAGTACGGCGACTCGGATTCTAAAGGTTTGGGAATAGGTAATGCTGTGGTGCGTCCACGGCGGGATATGAGAAATGGTGTTAGATACAGATTATGATTGAAATGGATTGGTGAAATATGATTAAGTCGTAATAGTGAAATTGATTTGATTAGTGGGGTTTAGAAATTTAAGGTTAATTGTTTTAATTTATTTTGGAATTTTATGTTATTAGAAAAGTGTTGGACCGATTAATCCTAGATTAAAAATAAAAGAGCTAATTATTTATTTGTTTTGAGATTTTACGATTTAAATAAATTCTAGAAAAGGTTCTAATTTACTTAAGTTAAATTAACTAGTTGATTAGAAATAAATAAGTTCCTTTGACTTTATTATATATATTTTTGGTTTTTAAATTATAAAAAAAAGATAAATTAAAAAAAGAATCTTATTATTGAATTAAAGTTTAAAAAAGACTCACTAAATAAACTAAATTTATTTATTTATTTTTTTTATTATAAAATGAACCAGATCAATATTAAATCTAAAAATTAATCAATTATTTATAAATTCGTTTTCTTTTTAATAAAATAAAATGTTTTTTAGATTTTTTTTTTGGATTTTTATTTATGAAAAAGAGAAATGAGAAATTAAATTATTAAATTAAACCTTTTTTTTTATCTATTTATTTTATCTAAACTAAAAACTAATTATTCAAACTTATCACTATTTATTTTTTGTTTTTTTTTTATTTAAAAATATTTTTATATTTTTTATATTTTTATTTAGTTAGTTAATTAGTGGTTAGTAGTTAGTAATTTTCATTAATAATTATAATTACAACATACATAAATTAAATAAAAAAACGAAAGCTAAAATAAATATAAAAACAATAAAAAGAGAAGTTTGGGTTGGGCCGGTGGTGATGAACCCACCGGACCCGGGTCGGTTCATACATGCAACGAGAAAGGGGGGAGGGTTTCAATCTGAAACCCTAAATTCTCCTCCAATCCCCAAACGACGGCCAACTCTCCTCACTCTCTCATGTCTCGAATCTCCTCATTCTCCTTCCATTTTCGTCTTCCTCCCTCTGTTCATCTTCTTCCGCTTCTTTTTCTTCTCCGCTTCTTTGTTCTTTCTCAAAACCTGCGAATAGACAAACAGTCATAGAAACACGAATATAAAAATTAAAATGGAATGGACACCTACGGAGGCGAAGTGTTTGGCTAACGGCTTCGCGGTGGTCGGCGGCGGAAATGGCGGCGAAGGTTTTGGAGATGACTTCTGCGATGACGGAAGGGGTTTTGCGGAAAGATAAGTTTCAAATTTTCTTCCTTTTTTTGTGAAAGTATTTATCGGTATGAATGTCTTGTGAATATTGTGTGTTGATGTTGTGAATTTCTGGCTGTTGGTGAATCTCGTTTGTGTGTTAAATTTCGTATGGAATCCTCTCCCTATCCCCTGAACTCCTATTCTATTTATAATCTTGCTTTTACTGTTAGGACAACATGGTTTTGAAACCTTTCCTTTTCGGTTCAGACATGTTGGTATAGTGTTTTGGCAAGGAAATGAACATGTCTGATCCTGCTTTGGAAATTTTATTATGCCAAGATATCTCTATTAATTTCCTTTGTTTTTGACAGTAGAAACTTAAAGCATTTCCATTTTGAGCTAAAACTGTCTAGACATGTTTTTGAACCGTTTGATTTTCACTTAAACGAAATTGATGATGTTTTGTTGTCTCTTATTTTTCCTCTTTTTGATATACACCGTAAGCATTTAGTGTGAATCATGACATTTGAAATATTTGTTCTATTTGTTGTATTGGATAGGTTATCTCTTCCTTCTGGCGAAGCAAAATCCTTAAGTCTTTCTTTCTCATGTTCAGCTGTTGTAAAAAAAGCTCATAACAGCATCTTGCCTCAAAGAAATACCGTCGAGGGGAAGCAGAAGATACATCCATAGTCAATTCCACAAAAGTTCTTAATTTTACAAGCATTCTAGAGCCATGTCCAATGTAATCATCCATTTCTCTTGGACTCACAGTGATGAGTGAATCAGGATCCAAATTACAACGTTGTATAAAAGCATCAACTGCAGCTGAATCTTGATCGGGGAGAATTTCAAGAACATCACCAGTGTCATACTGAACGGCATCTAAAACAAATTCAAATTCAAAATGACGAACATCTTTTCCAAAGTTTGGTCTGGTCAAAGGAAGATTCTTCACCATCTTAAGAAAGCAGTCAGGATGCCCACTTCTGTCAGAAGAAGAATTTCCCGGATGCATTGAACGAGCACTCCGAAGAATATCAGGACTCATTAAATCTGATGCAGTTAAAAATGCGACTTGATATTTTCAATTTTGTGATATGAGATTTGGACTTTCGGTTGGTCAACCAACATTGTATCTTGAATTACAACATCTAGGCTATTTGGTAATAATTCTGGTTTGATCATGTTTAAGATTCTCCATAGAGAAGACATCCAAGGATCAAGAGTACATTCATAGCCTGAAGGGTGCTGATCATCTCCCAAGCCTCTTTCTACAATAGTTGTTCCTGCAAGGTCCATTAATCCTTTGTCCAGCTTCTTTGCAACAAAATTGTATTTATGATAACCAGAATCACCCAAACCAAAGACAGTGTAATGAACCCCTTTCAGCCAATGGTTGCTTAGGTTTCTCTGAAGAAGAAACCTCCAAAAGACCTTCATGGAATCAGGGGCATCATCCTGGCCTGTGGTAGAAACCACAAAACTGACAGCCTCTTCCTGAGGTAACAGACTAGGATCATAATCATGAAGAGAAAGAAGTTTATTGGGGCAGGATCTTTGTTCGGCTTCACGAGCAAGACGTTCATCAGCATCCAATGCATTGCCGGTTTGAGTTGCATACAGTATGAGAAGCCTATGCTGGTGCTGCATTTCTCTCTATAACCTAGCCTCTAACAATTCAAAGCCACCACAAAAAGAAACTGGCATATGGAGCGGCGGTGTGCACTGCAGACGTTGCGTGGGAATCGACACCGTGGCGGTTGACGGTGGTGTGCAGCGCAAACGGAGAGAGATGAGACTTGAGTACTGATGTTGTGAGGAGATTTCCTTTCCATTTGAATTTAGATATGTTCAGAACTTCTTCACTTATTGCGTTTGACTGTGTTTGGTTTGTTTCTGACTCAACATGCTCTTGGGGTTATTTCAGGAAGGAAAAACACGTTGTAGACCAATGATGGTGGCTGCTTGATGATGTCGGTAAACCGTGGGCGCTGAACTAAGAACTTGATATTGCATTTAATCACTGTTAATGGGATTTAGAATTCACCAGACGTGCAACGTAGTATATGTGGAGGTCTTTGGTGCTACACGTTCACGACTTGAAGTTTTGACAGCCTGCATCCTGCGGATATTGGTGCCGCGTAGAGTCCATGGTATTGTTGCTCCGTATGATTGAATCATAAGTGAATTTTCCTACGAGTTCGTGTTTTAACATGTTAAGTAAAGAATTTCTGAGCAAAACGTATTGTGATCATGAACTTAACTATCTTGATTGATGTCTTGCATACTTCCAATGGAAATAACCTCACAAATTTTTGTCTTCCAATCTTATGCAGGTTGCCTCGGTGTTCCGGTATGCATTAATTCGACCAGAACACATATTTGGTTTAGTACCCCTCATCATTGTCCCTAAATACTAATCATTAGCTGCAAGTAAATCCGATGTACTGTTTGGTCATGTAAATTTTATGCAGAGTATGACAGTAGTAGCAGATGAAGCCAATCTTAGAGCTACCGAAGGTATCGCATTTTCCGTGACTGCACCCCTTTTTTTTCGTCCAACAATCACAACATGGAAGACTTGTTTTTTTCTATTTTTTTTCTCCAATATGCACTTGCTGTTTCTATAGGCAAAGTGAAACTTGTAATGCAATTCTTGTAAATGCTGATGAATTGAGATTGTGACATCTTAACATGGGGTATGTACTTTCAAATTTGTGAGACACGTGAATCCTCAATTTGTTTTGTAAGGAAATTTTCTGGTGCGTTTACCAACACCCCCTGTATATCATTTGAGACCTTAAATAGAACTTTGAATTTGACGTTTGCAATCTAGCACTTCAATGATTAAAAAATGGCAACTTTACTTTTCGGAACCAGTTTAACGAGATTCCTTAAGATAGAGAGGATAATGCATTCATATTCCTCGAATTCAAGTTTATAGCTCTTGGCAGTTTGACTTCTTCATGGGTCTTGAATTTGAATCCCTACATGTTAAATTCAACACATATCCTTGAATTAGTGAAACATTGTTTTCCAACATTCTTCGAATTTTGGACCTTAAACAAATTCCTTCAATTATTGAGCTTGGAAGAAATAATGTATCCTTTAGAATAAGTAAGGTGGTTTTCTTTTGAATTTCTAATGGATCTTTAAGTTTGAGAATAATGTGAACTTCAAGTTTATTCCATGGAATTGATATGTAGATTCCTTGCGAAGAACAACATCCTGTGTTTAAAAATGATGAGCTCATGGATCCTCTTAGGTTTGAACGTAATCTTAAATTACTTGGAACTCGAAAATGGAATCCATGTTGACAAAGGATTGAGCTCCACCATTTGGTTAGCGAATCCTTCACAACAAAATGAATCCCATGCCACGAAAAAATCATTCTTTCATCTTTTCTTGAAAACCACGTACTCGAACTAGTCAACAGCTGTGCAATATCATGCCCTTAAATAAACATGTCTCGAATCAACAAACGAAGAACTTAATCTTCCTTTGGGAATCCTCAGATATATCTTGGGGAGAAATTTGTCATTAGGTCTTGAGTCTATTGCAGCAAACCTGTCTTCATGAGGCAAAACAAACAACTGGTTAAAATAGTTAGTTAAAATAACAAATGAACTAAGATGACATGCGGATGACCACTAAATCTAAGGGTAAAATTTGGGGTGCGACAGTTGCCCCTATTTAAATGACTTCACCAGATGATTTGGGAAGCGAAGGCTCGAGAAATCATGGTGAAAGGGATTTAAATATATATAACTGAAAATTTTGCCCTTAGATGCAGTGATATGCAATGCTATGGACAAAACGACAATGCTGACGATGCCATGAATTCTAAATGATGCGTACGATGGAAATGATGATGCAGACGAGACAACAATGCAGGGGAAGATGACGTACTGGGGAACAGCACCGAACCGGGAAAATCTAAAGCGATAGACCAACAAGTTCAAGCATGACCAGTTGTCACCTTAGAAAGAAAAACAAGAAGAGGTCCTCAATGGAGATGGCACCGGCGAGACGGCCTCCACTGGGGACATATCCAAGAGTAGTTGCTCAACAGCTCCAGGCATGACCGGTTGAAACTCTAAGATGAAAAGGTAACTCAAGATCCACACGGTGGTAGGATCAAGTAAACAGAATGCTGGAGCATTGAGCAAAGAATAACATCCAAGCTTTTGAAAACTCTTGAGCGAAGAGATCAAACGGGATCTTTGATGGAGATGACACCGGCAAGACGGCCTCCACTGGGAAATATAATAAAGAGTAGCTGCTCAACAGGTCCAGGCATGACTGGTTGACACTCTAGGGTAGGATCAAGTAGACAGAATGCTAGAGCATTGAGCAAAGAATAACACCCGAGCTTCTGGAAACAAGATCTTCAAGACTCATTAGAAAATACACAGGGTGAGAACCGGTTGTATGCCAAAATAAATGGACTTAAAGAGGGAATGCCCTGATAAGCTTCTTGAGAGAGACTGCCACTTATCGCTGAAAGGGACTTACATGCCAAAATGGATAAGCTCTCAAATAAAGAGACTGTCGCTTATCTGATAAAAATAAACTTCCATGAGGTCCTCAATGAAGAAGGCACCGGCGAGACGGCCTCCACTAGGGAAATAAGAAATAAGATAAAGGCTCAACAGGTTCAGACATGACCGACTGACACTCTAAAGTGATGGACCAACAGGTTCAGGCATGACCAGTTGACACTTTAGAAAATAGATCCTCAATGAAAAAGGCACCGGTGAGACCGCCTCCACTGGGGAATATCCGAGAGTACGGCTCAACAGGTTCAGGCATGACCGGCTGGTACTCTAAGGTAAAGGGTAAGCTTCCACGATCAAAATATGATTTTAGCTTCTTCTTTAACTAAATGATTCATTTAGAAAGGGTTAATAAACTTCTTCACATTTCAAGGTCTGCTGCTCCCTGAAATGATTCCGTTTCTTCTTTTACTAAAGGGTAAAATAAACCTCCCCCATACTTCAAGGTTTGTATTCCATGAACGGGTCTCAGTTTCTTCTTTTACTAAAGGGTAAAAATTGTCCACGGCGGGATGCCCAAGAATGAGTAACGGCGACTCAACGTCTTACAATTCAGGAGATGATATGTCCACGGCGGGATGCCCAAGAATGAGTACGGCGACTCAACGTCTTAAGGTTTAAGAAATGATATGTCCACGGCGGGACGCCCAAGAATAAGTACGGCGACTCAACATCTTAAGGTTCAGGAAAATGATATGTCCACGGCGGGACTCCCAAGAATGAGTACGGCGACTCAACGTCTTAAGGTGACGGTCACTTGTTGCTAGTCATAATGAAATTAGGGATAAACTTCTCAGGCGAGAACTGTTGCATGCCGTTGTTTGTAGTGATAGGCTTCTCAGGCGGGAACCGTCGCATATTAGTGAAGGTTGTAAAAGGGCTCTTCTTGATAGATAGTGCAAAATAAATGCACATCCAGGTAGGTTCGGCGACCGACAGAGACCAAAGTTCAATCTAGAATCGAGCTAGAAAGAAACTGTCAAACAAGACTCCATTGAGGGAATGAACTTAAATGGGGATTGTCTATTCCTGGCGCAGAAAAGGTAACTGAAATAACCATCATCTACGAGGGTTGAACTCTGTGGGGAGACTGAAAATGGTAAGTGTTTTATGCTTAGAGGTTGACGATCTACTTGGAGAGAACGGACAAACCCAGTTACTTGGCGGTAACCACAGCCAGAGTAACAACAAAAGACAACGGGGATAGAAAACATGCTAATGCGTATGTCAATGCGTATAAAAATGAAAAAAGATATGCAAATGAGTATGAAAAATGTTCATGCTTATGCTCATGCACATGCTGGCAAGACAGACGAGTGGAGAAGAAAATAGGAGATGAAATAAACATCTCGACGGGGATTCCCGGCGACCTCTACAACAGTACATCTATCAAGGGATAAGAAAGTTGATGGCGGAAGTAACTCTTGCTTCAAAGTTCCAGATTCTCTGGGGAGAACAGAATTCCACTAGGGAATATAACATCATGACTTCACTGAAGGATTGCCATCATGGATCTAAATTTCAATCAAAAAGACTTGTTCACTGGGAGAGTCATCTCAAGAGTAGAGACTTCCGGGGATAAAATAAATATCCGTTTCATTGGGGAAGTGTGGAGCTAGGCAGTTTCATGGAGAAAAGGTAGCAACCTTCTGGAAAAGTACAACAACTCCCTAGGGAAAGCAACATCAACTTCCTGGGGAAAGTATCTCGACTTCTTGGGGAGAACATGGCAATCTCCTGGGGAATATTTCCTGAGGCACGTATTGCAAATTCAGCAAGGAAAAGATGGTTCCGCTGGGAGTGGGTCCTCAAATATATATCACTTGGAGGATGCTGAGGAGATCTCTGCAGTCTTGAAAGTCACTGGAGATTACCGAATATGTCCGAGAGTGTTGTCGGCTTATAGTCTCGCTGGGGACTCGTGCTGAGGCAATGGTTTAAAAGTGCTTTTGCAACAATGAGACTTACTGGGGAATCATGAATGCCTTCAGTAAAATTTATCGGGGCAGGAAGAGTGTAATAGTCGCCATCTTTGAAAAAACGAATGCCCTAGAGTACATGCTTTGTGGGAAAGAGTCATCTCAAGAGGATTTT